TGAACCGCTTGAAACTTACCACAACACGCATCGAATTTCCATCGCTTGGTAAAACGCGGGGGTGCACCGCTTTCGATCTAGTCAACCGCCATAAACTTCGATCTGGTAGACCAGTAGTTAGTTCTCGCTGTTCACCAGCTAGTGTCTCAGTCGTTCCTATCAGTGAAGTGATAAGAGAAGCTTGTTCCGCTCGGCCGCGTTGGACTTTCCTCATTAGGTCAGCTAGAATAGCTGCTTCTTCGTCTGGACCGTAGAACAGTTCGTAAGGTGGCACAGGCTCCAGTGGTGGTGTACGTGGTCGATCGACTCTCGCTGGACGTTCAACTACAGTGACTTCTTCATTACACGAAGTGTCCAGTGTACTCTGTTCAGACGCATCTTTTTCTTCATCTTTTATCTTTACAAGTGTGTCGTTAATAGTGGGTTCGGAATGAGTCGGAGTTTCGTTGGATTTAGAAACCTTGGCCAAATCTGACCAAATCTGCATGCGCTCGGTGAGGCGGATCGAGCGCACCAGGTAGCGCTCTGTAATGTGTTCCACATGGTTCGGGCACATCCATCGATCCGATCGAGGTGGGAAGTGAGGTAGAGGAGGATCCAAGCATTCCAGATGGAAACAGGATGAACAATAGTCACAGGGGAGCAAGGGCGCCAACATGCATGTCCTGGGTGAATAGAACGAAGTGACAGGGTTAAAGGAAGGTGCGCCATAGTAAAAAATATTGAAACCAAGAAATGAATCAGTCATATTCAGACTTTGCAAGGATGGCAGGCTATTATGCACGCGGCATTTTTCCAAGAACTGGTTGAGACTAACAGCCACATGGCAGAGAATACAGTGAAGTACCCAGCTCAAACGGACCTAGTTGGTAGAAGAGACACGGATAAAAAGGGATGGCGGAACGACAATTGGACGCAAGTTGTTTTTCCTTAGACACGTCCAATAAACCGGCTACTTGTCATCCGTTTAAAAATTACGAAACAGAGCAAAAATTCTGAATAAGGCGTCACGTCTTACCTCGAACAAACGAAGCACCGACGCACAGGACGAGGAATTATGCCGTTCTCCAAATCAATGATGGACTTCGTTTTGCGTTCAGCAAGGGTTTTGTAGGAGCCTGAAAATTAACAGATGAAAATCGTGGAATAATAGAATGAACCTATCATTCTCTATTAAGCCAAAAAATGAACTTGATACTCCCTGCGTTCAATTGAATGAAGACGAATCATAGCCGGGACCAAGACCACACTGTGCCACACTACCTATTTGTGATTCAAAGAATCTGTAGAGTGAGGTTCACCAACTTTGTTGCGCGCTATACAATCGACAGAGCTCGACTTCTCTGTAAATCGCTAAAAATACTCAAAATATTCTACCGTTCAGACAGAGTCTCATCCATATGGACAAGATTGCAGGCAGCAATATCATCAACCTCCTCCTATATTTCGAACGTAATTGTCGGTGGAACCCGAAGACCACAAAATATAACGCCAGGACAATCCAAAAAGAGATTAGATCGGAAATACAACATCAACACAAAAATACCAGAGCCCCGTTTGGCTTGTTGATGTATGAGGTCAGCAACTACGAAGCAGGACTCAGCCCATAAACTGAGGCAGTATTCCGTTGCTTCAAAACCGGGGCAGGAACGGCGAAAGAAACGAGGGTGCAACAGAAGAAACTTGAAAACCACAAACCAAAGCTATATTCATATGAAAATATATTTATAAAAGCCACGTTACCGCACGCAACGAATGACCATCAGAGGTAAATGTATGTCGAGCTTAAACTGAACAGATCAGCGCAGCAACACTGATTCCGTTGAGCGTCCCCTGAACACCAGTGTAGTGTATTTTGTAAACAACGGAATAGTTGTCCTTGGTCCGGTTTGTGTTACATTTTAAGCACCTAGCACTCACATGTACCACTTCAACGCTTTTGTTGCTACTAAGTAGCCTGATCTATCGCTGGTAGATATGGGGTAGGTGTTGCAAAGCGCATTTAATCCTATTTGGAGCTCACTAGTAGAAAAAAGGGCGCACTTTTCATGCAAACGGCACTTGTCTTATCAATGTTCCCCACATTGGTTTCAGGGTATTTAAACCAAACGCCTGTACGCGCTAAAGACATGCATTCGTAGAAACGCTCAAAAAGTTCCTGCTCATCAACCAAGTATGCAAGACAGGTATGCTGATGCAGAGGGAGCGAGATCTGACAAAGAATCAGTCGGTCAAAAATCAGTCATATAGTATCACATGGTATGATCTGACGGGCAGGTTACTCATTCGCCTTAGCGTTTTGGGCGTAAGACCTCCATCCCTATTCATTTTACTGCTGGTTGGGTTGTCCATAACCAAGGCCGATCTGGCTAAGTTCGGTAGGTAAGTCCATTATACCTCTTCTATCCACAGCCTATCTATTGTACTTTTCTACTACAGATGTCTCGTAGTTAATGGGATGGTCCGATGAAAAATGCTAATTGTTTGATCCTTGTTCCAGAGTATGTACGTGAGCAACAACATTCTGGCGTAATAAAAACAGCAGACGTCATTTTACACAAATGCTTTTGTCATCATCGAGTTTTTCGAAGTAGCAGCAAATGTCATACTTGTTGCAAACGGTCTGTGGAATAATTAATTAGGTTGGTCGCTACCAACACTGGCTAAAAACTGTACATGGGTCGTATATAGGTTCTAGCTGTTAAAAAGTTTCTATTATACTTTGACTGCATCTATTCATATTTCACATAGCTCCTTAAACAACTTGGGTTTTGAGTAATAAAATCGAAATTTTCGTCCATTGATGTGCGTTCTTTACATTCAAGTGCCGAGGTAATCGTCAGTGCAATGCATTCATTTGTGTTGAACCACTTGTTCGAAGTCTTAGGAGGCTACAGGTTGAAGTGAAGAAACGCAGTGAAATAGAGGGTTAAATGGGATGTGCTATGCATTTCTCATGTAGTCCTTCACATTTTCTGGAGGTAGCCAGGATTAACTATTACAAGCGTCTCATTCAAGGACACCTTCAAAATGTCCATTTGGAAATTCCCCTTCTTTCTGGATTACATTACATTAATTCCTGTCTAGGTTTGGGCAACCTGGCAGTACCTCAACCATAGTGCTTCCTCCAGGTGACATGGCAGCTAGGCACCGAAAGGATGTTACAGCTGAACGATTATTACATTATACTAATGAAGTGATTATCACAATCCATTAGTAGGTGCGGCGTAACATGGAATACTTCGTTTCAGACCAGTAAGAACATGCAGAGAGGGGAGGCTTTTCCCAACATATTATAGGGAGTGAAGAGTAAGATATGATTAGAAGATGACTGGCCGAGCTCTTCTTCGGGTTCTGTCTACCACTTACGAAACAGTTAAAAAAAGGATATTATAAAGGGGCTTACCGGGAAGTTTGATTCCAGGGAGCAAATCTTTCGGTAAATCAAACTCTTTTGGATTTTGGTACTGCGCATACTTGATAACACTCCATAGTGCACGCAGCTCAGACTCTTCTGTATCAGCGACGTAGGCAGATTCACCCCAAGCAGCCGAACGACTAGAACGACCGGTTAGAGTGCGTTCGTTAGTCAACGCACGGGAAATGCATGCACTTCTTTTTGAAGGTTGCTGCAGTTGTTGGACCTGAGTTAAGGCTGCGCCAGCCAGCAGATTTAACGACTGTGTGGAGTCCGGTCTGCGAACGGAGGAACGCGAGACAGGTCGACCAGACCGCACAGATCCTGTTTCTGTGACTGCCGTACTCTGACTACTTGAGGTGGAAGCCTGGTCTTCTTCGTCCTTTGAAATGGCAATATAAGTTGTATGTTCACGCTCTACTCTTACTACACATACTTTACGCACTAGCAAAGTCAACACCAAGGCGATCACTCGCCAACTAAATACGACGCATTGCCACAACATGCGGATACATATGGAAACATGTGGAAAACCAATAAGCGATCGCTTGCACAACTCGCCGTATTTTACTAACTGAGCAATTCAAGGAAAGAAGCTAAAAGCCGTAAGCACAGTGCAACTCTTCAATATTACGCCTCGGTCTCGAACTCAGGATTCGGTTCAGCTGCCGGTATAATGACCCATACCACCGGTGAAGCGTTCAAGGTTAAAGCGCCGTCTCTGTGCAAACGAGGTTTTTATTTTCATGTCCGATACCTTGTAACAATAAAGTGATAACTGCTCAGTTTTCGTCAACAAACAACTCCCTTATAGAAGGCACTCTCTCTCCTTTACCAGTAGTGTCTTTGCAGTCAAGTCTGTCTGTTAAAAACCTTGCAATGGTGAGGTGACAGTAACACCCACCCGGAGCATTCTAAGTGACGCTTATGGATCACGCTTTATGAGCTTTATAGGCCACACCGATCAGTTGTCAGAAAAAGCCTTGAGTGAATCATTCGGTTGCTCATAAGTGTGAAAGGGCGCTTCTCAGATCACCAAAGAATTGAGAGGTGACCGAGGGATACTAACGTTAACCGGTGGATGGATCTGCTCAAATCAGCAACGGCAAGATGAGTCTGGACAGCAACTGGAAGATAGAACTGATTCCCAACTGACTTGGCACAAACTACTAAGAAGAGTACCTTCGTTAGTTAAAGCGACTAGGTAGTCGCTTGCTCCACTAGACTAACCGCCGCAATCACTAAGCAGCTCCAGGCGTTTAAACTATGAAGTTGAAAAGAACTACAAAACCAATCAAGACATACACACTCCAGTTCAGTGAAAACAGGGGTCACAAAGGATTAGATTGTGAATCTTACCTTGAGGGCCATTGAGCACTTGTGACAGAACCAGACTCCTATTGGGGCTTCGTCTGGCTCCAGTGGAGGATCCAAGCATTCCAAATGAAAACTTGCAGGACAGCGATCACACACTAACCGCTCACCTTCGATGCAACCACAGCTATCGCAAAACTCGTGGCAGTTGGCACGAGGTTTCCTCCAAAATGGGTCATCACGGCCAGTGAAATGAGCTGAGTAAGAAGAACTGATGTTGCTCAAGCCCGACAAAGTTTGATCGCCAGTGCCTGAAGAGCTTTCACCTGACGAGTTTTCAGTTCCCTTGCGGATACGGCGTGCAGATGGCTGTCATAACGCAAACATTACAAATGGGAGGAAAACCTACGATTCCACCTAGACCCTTTTTGCCGTAAGATTCTGCCGTTGGAGGGGCAAACAGTGAGTTGATTTCACTCATCAAACTGTCTTTATGAAGGATACCGTTGTCACAACTGGCCATTTGATTGCAGCTAATCGTGTGTAGAAAAAATATCGGTGGATTACTTGAATCTAATATCTAATGATAAAAGACAGAGCAAAGTCGTACAGAACAATACAACGAAGAGATCCAAGATACCCAGATAATGCAGCAGAATCTATGGGGGGAATGTGCGAGGATGGTAACAAAAGCGAGTACAGTCCGAAGGAAAGCAAAGGTAAATAATATCATGGGAGATGTGAAGTGAGGAATACCCGCACTGGAAAGTGATAGGCTAAAAAGCCCTTCTGAAAAGTTGCGGAACATGAGGCATATTGTGGTTCTTGGCAAGCGATACGGGCACTGATAAAAGTGTAATCAACGCGCACGATACCAAAACTAGAAACAACTATGAAAATAGCTAAACCGGGTAGAGAACGCGTTCTAGCGGGAGACCAAAAAGGACAACCTCCAACAGTCTCCAATCCTCCTCCTAAGAGGAACCACGGAACATCACCAGTTCACCAGGTTTGTTGTAGGTTGGTGCCAAGTACGCATCTAGCCGCTTGCACTAAGATCAAATTGTTTTTTAGGTGGCTGGGGGGTCCGAAAACATTATTTTAAATATTCGATGCGTAGCTAGCACACCGAATGGGGTGGATGAACAAGCGATACTTTTCGATAGCATTTTTCATAGAACCTTTCCTGGAGTGCTCACCAACACAACTCAGTACTCGGGAAACGACCCCACGAAATGATCAATTGCATTGTTATTAACTTTGAGGATAGCATAGATGAGTTGCCCATTTGATTAGCAACATTCTGTAAGACAGTCCTCTTGTCTTTTAACAGCATTACTACCAGCAGCAAGGAAATGCTGAATACGGGCTCCTTGATGTGATCATCATAGTCACTCTTGCGCCATCCATGAAGCTGACTAATCCTCTCGGTTGAATGAGACGGAGTAAAAAGAAAGTATGTGCACCTTTTAGAATGGTCTTGCCAGCAGACAGTACAGATAACTGAATAAGGCGCTGATTATGCGTTTAAACGGGAAACAACTGTTGGTCTCGATAGTGGCTACGTTTGCACGGTCTACTCAAATGGGCGAACTTATTCTGGAACGTCGCCAGACAGTTTGAATGGGTTCTGTTCTCATCCACATACCCATTTTGAATTCCAACTATTTTTACTACATACAAAAAGGATGTACACCTGAAGGTAAAACACCCTGTCGGGAGTTCCCCGCACCAAAAGAAAAGAGGCACCTGGTAAAAGGTCATCGCGATGTTGTCACCTCACTTTCTCTGAACAACTGTTCAGCGCAGTTTATGGTCTCGCTGTTGTTCGGACTAATATAAGCGAGCCGATCGGGAAAATTGAAGTGATTAACCGCAATTGTCCCTAGTCTGACGGAAACAGTTAATCCGTACAACTAAGTGGCGGCATCTCCGCGATAGACCATGCCTTGAATTACCAGAGTGAATCTATCGTGCGACGGTTTCTGGAAACGGTGCAACAAAGGGATGGCACATTGTTGTATCTGCTGACCAGCTGCATCCACCGTGGATTAAAGCCATCTTGATTTTTATATTGCATGACCCGACTTAAAGTTGTAACATTGTTGTGGTGGTCGGGCTGCTGTGTTGCAATGATCCCGCGGGCTATACTGGCTGGAACTCAGTTCCTAAAGGTTCAACCATGCCAGGAAGGCTAACGGGGAGCAGTCCGACGAAGAACAGCGAGTACCCGTACTGCGAATAATCGTATTACGAGGCAGTCTGGAGGTAAAGTAGTACTGTCCTATGCGATAGGAATGTGAAGGCAGTAAGGTGTTTCTCCCCGGGCGACCAGCATGTCCTTATTTATGGAAGCAACGATGCCGCCCCAAAACCACACACTCCGATCGCCCAACGGTTGACCGTAACCACCGGCGCATTATTCAATACGGTCGAAATACCTTTAAAACCAAAGAGCCTGGTGCTGCCTAAAAGTCACCTGCTGTGCGCAGCCGCGTCAGGAGTGAGATAGTAATGCCCTATTCCCTGTGCCCGTGGGCCAGGCCGGCCCCCTACAGCCAAGTAGGTCAGACTGGTAGGTCATTGGCCCCTGGAATGGTCCCCAAAGAAAACACTAACCACCGCTGTCTTGCGGTCCAGACTCTAGAGTCAAGGTCCCCGCACAAAACTCTACATATTCCCACTGCCTCGCGAGTCAGATTTTGAGTCAAAGGCTCAATTTTGGGTACCTCAACTAAACCCATTCTTCGACCTGGGCAACCGGGAAGTGTCATTTGCCATCGCAGCCCTCCGTTAACCGGCCTTCTCCCTCATTCCTTCCCAACCAATCGTACAACGCAGTGCTATCAGCCCATGTGCCAATCCCCTAGCCACTGTTCCATGTCTCAACGACCACCCAGGAAAAAACAAAATAATTACCTAATAAACGCAAAAGATCTTATCCACGTTTCAGCCTTCAATGTCCGTACTCTATGTCAGATTTGACAACAGGCAACCCTTGATGAAACCTTACTTTCCCTCTCTATCGATGTATGTTGTGTCTCCGAAACACATATACAAGACCCCACTTCGTTCGTACTGCTCAAGCCGCTTAGGACGAGCCCAGATATTCCGCATTTCACTCTTCGGGCATCTAGTAATCCTGACGCAATGGCTCGTAGTACCTACGATATGGGAGTTGCACTCAGCCCCAAGTCTGAAAGTGCCTTACTGGACTGGATCCCAGTAAACAGTCCCCTTCGTGCTGTGCGGTTGTCTCAAGATTAACGCAGGTTGATGTGGTGAACAGTGTTTGTCGTATCAGCATACGCCCCGACAGATAGCAGTTCCGAAACTGAGAGGGATGAGTTTTACCAAGATCTGTGAAGATTGCTTCGGTCGGCAAGAAGGGTGGATATAGTAATCCTGGCTGGTGATATGAATGTCCAAGTTGGACGACTAAGTCCGGAAGAAGCACAGTTAGGTGGTCGATCTGAAGTCGATGCTGAACTTACGGATAATGGAGAACGGCTTCTAAAGTTATGTGCAGACCATTGTCTGTTCCTCGCCAGTATGAACAACACAGCACGCACACACCGAATTGCTTGGAGGCCGCCTACCACAAGACAGTCGTGGATTCGATTGGACCATATGGCTATCAGTTACCGATAGAGAGCCTCAGTTAAAGAGTGTCGATCGTTCTGGGGTACGCAACTTGACTCTCACGCTATCGTGCGGGCCTCGTTAGCACTTCGTTTCCCGCCAGCACTACGCGTGGCAAAAAAGAGCAGCTCCATTCATCAAATTCGACAAGTTTCAGTAGCCGAAGAGTATCGAGCTGATCTGAATAGAAAGCTACGAGAAACCCACAGTCATGTAGATGACGAAGATTGTTGGGAGGATGAATGGAGGTGAGCTAAAGCAATGCTGTCAGCTTTCAGAATGGAACATTGTCACTAACCCACCATCAACAACCGAAATACAGCGTGAGATTTCAATCCTGAAGTGCGACAACACACCTGTCTTGAAAGGTCTACACCCCGCACTCTTCAAAAAAGATGGCAAGTTCCTAGTGAACAATCTGAGAATCATGTTGCAGCAGATTTGGAACGAAAACAGAATACCAGCCGAATAGTGCTCCTTGACCGTCATCCCAGTTTTCAAAAAGGGAGCAAGAGACATGTGAAAACCATAGTGATATCAACCTGGTGTCCGTCGCATCCAAGACGCCCCCTGTCATTATTTTGCGCAGATTTATGGATTATCGGGAACGATAGGTTCGTGAGAATCAAGCTGGTTTACGCCCTGGTCGAGGATGCATCGATCATGTCTTTACCTTGAGACAAGTCCTTGAACAGCGCCACTCCTTCAGACGTCCCACGTTGGTCGTTCTTCTGAACTTCAAAGGTGTTTTTGATTCTGTCGACAGAAAGCAACTTTGACAGTGTCTGGCGATCGAAGGTATCCCTTACAAATTTCTCTCCCTTATGAGGGCACTGTATACGAACTGCTGTGGGCGCGTGCGAGTACACGGGAAGCTCTCGCCTGAGTTCTCCACGTCCAGTAGTGTGAGGCAAGCTGTCCTCTTTCCCGTTTCCACTTCAACTTTGTTGTTGATATGCTGTTTGAAATTTCTGTGCCTGCCTGTGAAACCTCGGGAGTCGAAATGCTCCCGGGACTTCCCCTCACAGGCATTGAGTATGCGGACATTATTGCTCTCGTTGTCCCAGATCCTTTCCAAATGCAAATGATTTTAAATAACCTAAATAAGTCTGCCCCATGGTTTGACATGCGCTTCACACCTGCAATGTGTGTAAAAAGCTGCTACAAGACTGGGTGAAACCAAACACACACATGCTTGCAGGTGCAGCAATTGACGTGGTAGATAAATTTGTTTACCTGGGCAGTTGTATAAGTTCCGGTGGACTGGCTGGAGATGAGACTACTTCTCGAATCGGAAAGGCCAGAGCAGCTTTTACCAACCTCGGACACCTATGGCGCCTATGACGTGAGCTTTGTCTGTCAAGAGAAGAGTTTCATCATCATCATCGACAGCATGACATCAGTGTTTAACACCGATGCTCCACTGCCGTAAAGAGAAGAGTTTACACTGCGGTGGTGCGATCCATACTGCTTTAGGGATCGGAGACGCGGCCTCTACGCGCAGAGGACATACGACAGGTATCAGTGTTTGATCATCGGTGTCTCTGAAGCATTGATCAGGTCTGGTGGGAACATCGCATTAGTAATGCTGAGGTACACCAAATCATCATCAACATCGTCATTATCATTATCATCATCATTGTCAGTTGTTAGAACCGCGTACTCGGCGTACAGTGGTTGTAGCTGCCGAAGTTTCGTTCACCGATGATTTGGGGATGGGGGTAGGTAGCTGCGCCAAATGGTCTTAGGAAGGAACTGTCTCGCGACAGATAAATTACTCACGCTTCATAGGCTGCGCTAAGTGGGTCATGTACTCCGCATAGCAGAAGACCATCTGCATCACAGAGCTCTGTTCTCCCAACCCTGTGCTGAATGGAAGCG